GGTCTGTAGAAGGGCTGCTCAGCAGAGGCGCCTCACACTGAAGAGTGGCTGACTCCCCTGACCAGGCCCCCTCCCCCTCGAGGAGAAACCCAGAGGGACGGTTGGTGGTGGGAGCAGAATTGGAAAGACAACAGGAACTCCAGGGAGTGTTAGAACACGCAGGCCAGGGGCGGCCCAGAGTAAGCAGAAGGAAAGAAGAGGAGAGGCAGTGATGGCATCAGCTGAGACAGCAGACGCAGAGGCAGAGAGCAGGGGAGTCGCCATGGCATCTAAGGGAACCCGCGTTGGGGGGCGGGTGGGGGACCGGGCGTGAGAGCCGCACCGCACTGCGCACTCGGCGCTGCAGTTCCACCATCAACCGCGTTCCAGTTTTCAGGACGCAGGACCACCCTTCGCCGAGTTCTGCGAGGCCACCGTTCCCACCCACACTCATCCTTCCATTAATCTCTCGCCGTTTTTGTTGTTTCCTGCAACCCTAAAATAATCTAGCTCGAACGCCAGAGAGGCAGGAATAAAACACCATTGAGGCTAATGGAAGAGAAGCTGTTAAGACAGAAACGGTCAATTGTATCAAATGTTACAGAAAGATCAAGTGGTAGAAGCACTTTAAAAGGAGCAGGGCTTTGCGAAGGAAAATGTGAGAGCCGGGCGCGTGGAGACGGAGGCAGGTTGTGATGAGCGATGAAACCGACGGGAGGTAACACCGCGCTTTCAAGTGGTTTAGCTGTGAGCAGAGACGAGGCGAGGCTCTAGGGAGAGCTTGTTGTGGAGGAGAAGAAATCTTTCAAGTAAGAAAGATTTAAACATACATTTTTTAATTTTTATTGAATTTATTGGGGTGACGATGGTTAATAGAATTATATAGATTTCGATAAACATATTTAAATGCAGCTGGAAATAAGCGTGAATGAAGGTGGGGTTGGAAACGTTTGAGAGAGCAGAAGACAACTGGTGGAACGAAGCTGCTGGGGATGCAAGTGGCCAAGCAGCAGCAGGCAGAGGAAATAACCTGAGACAGGGAGAGGGAAAATAGCCAGGCCGGGAGTGACACATGCCACGCTCTATTAGGGTCTGATATTAAAGGCATTTCCTGTAATGGCTTCTATTTTCTGAGTGAAATAGGAGATGAGATTATCTGCTGACAATAAAGAGGTAAGAGATGGGAAGAGCCTTGAGGCCGAGAAGAATATTCGCAATAGGCCCTTTGAAAAATGGCCATGAGATCGCTCCAGAAAACAGTGAATGGCTACCGTTTAGTACAGGGGGCTCCCATGGAGTCAAAGGCCACGAAGCTGGTTTGAAACTTAGCTGTGACTTTGTGCCTTCCTCCAGTCTCAGCCAGCAGGGCAGGAAAAGCAGCAGAAGCATGGGTAGCTGGGATTAACTTAAATTTGAGGACAGAAGGGCAAGGGAACAAGGACTGCTGGGTGGTAGGAAGGGAGCAGTTGAGGGGCAATAATATCTACATGGGCTCCGTATGGAGTGGGGATTGGCAAGGCTGCTAGGGACAAAATAGGACGACCAAGGAATCTCAAAAAATAGCTATTTGGGAGTAAGAGAAGAAGTCTGGAATGATAAGAGGTTAGGATTTTAGAGGTAGAGAAGTCCTCAGTGACCAGAAGATCTTGAATTTCACCGTGTGTCACAGATGAGTGCTGTGTGTCTGTCCAGCTTCTCTTCCTTTGGGGCACTTGCCATCTGTCATTACGTGTGGTTCTGGTCGAACAGCTCAATCTGGGGCCTCACCCCAACCCACCCTGACTGCAAGGGTTGGCACGGGATGCCGACCAGTGAGTGGCTACCTACAGTGCTTGGTTCAGGAGTGGGTCTATGACCAAGAATAGATCAGACTCTTCTTTGAGATTTCTTCCATGGATGTTGGAAGCTGAGAGTCTCTCTTTTTTCTCAGCTCACAAGTTGGGAAGACCATGTAGCTGCTTGTGACCATCTTTCCTGGCAGCATGGAGGACCCATCTAGAGAAGAAGAAAGTGAGACCAACATGCAAAGACAAGCCCATCAAGCAGAGGTGGAAGATGGACAGAAGCAAAAAAAAAATCCAGAGAATTTTGAATCCCTGGATCTAGCCATGCTGAAGCAACTCTACCCCTGAATCTTTCAAATACCACCCCCCCCACACACACACACACAAATTCTCGCTTTGGCTTAAGGTACTCTTAGTTGTATTTCTGTAAACTGTAGTCTAGGCTGTGAGTGGCTGAAAAAAAAGGGCAGAAAGGTATGAGAGCTGAGAAGGCCAAGAAACTAAAGATATAGTGTTACAGGGGTTTGGTTTATAGTCATTAAAGTCACCCAAAATGAAGGCCATGCTCCATGGAGGGAGAGATGAGGCCTGCGGACCATCTGAAACAGGTAACAGCGATGAGGACCAGAAGAAAGTTACATATCAGTCAGCAGGAACCTCAAAGGCATTACGGCGTTTACACCGGAATAACGGTATCGAGGCTGCGGAGGGCAAAGAGAAGCACAGACCCCCCTTGCTGATGAAAAGTGGGGTGTGCAATGCTGCGGATAAAACCGCTGCTGCACAAAGTACACAGAGCCCTCCTGGTCAAAGGGTGTGTAACCATGAAATGCTTTCCCCGTGAAAATTAGTCTCCGTGCCTAAGCCCTAAGTATTACTGCAATATCAACAACATAGACATTCTTTAACAGCTTTTCAGCCCACCACCCCTTGACCTTGGATCACTCGCTATTCATCTATAAAAGAGACTATAAGGTAAAATCGGAAATTTAGATAGATTTAACTTTTTTTCCTAACTGAGATACTTAATGCAATTATTTAAATGTCTCAGACAATGACCAGAATAATTGCCTCAGTAGCAATGATCATTCAAGTGTATTTGGTAGGAGAGGTCATGTAAATTTTTTAAAACTCTATTTAGGACAATCGCATCAACCTAATGCATTTTATTGGGCAACGTAAAACATACATGAATATTATGGAAAAACAAAGTCTGACACAAAAATGCAAAGCTGGCCTGCCAACTTGGGAACCAATGCACCGAGGCAAAGCCAACAACTAGCAGGCAATCCAACCAGGAAAGAAATGGCTTTATTAAAGGGATTTTCTATTTGTCCAAACGACAGAGAGCTAATGCGCATATGGGTTATATACACAGACAGAATTTACTTCTCCTATCCCATATACGCTTTCTACCAGAAATCTCTAAGGATTATGTCCAAACATTTCTAATATCTCTATATGTGTTAAAGATTACTGTCTATATATTTGAGTCATATATTGGGAACGTTATATAAACACAGATTCGGATAAATGGAATGGAATTTTGTGTAATAACGAAAAAGTGCAGAACTAATAACTATGGGCCGTTTTTAGTCTCATATAAATCTAGACATATAATTGATAAGTAAAAAAATGGAAAAATAATATAACAGCTTATGTCTTCAAAGTGATGTTGTTAAGTGTACTTTTGAACGGTGCAGAAAATAAGTTTACAGATAAAATCTAAAGTTTATTAAAGATTGTATTTGGAGAATGTACAAAAACAATGCTCCCACCCTCAGACACACACACACACAACCCCCACCCTGGCTGCTTTCTTTGGCCTGGGCAACGAAGAGACCCAGGAGTGAAGTCTCCGCCTCCACTCCGACTGTGTGGGTCCCCAGCAGCGGCCCCACGATTTGGAGCGTGTGAGGGACCTCCGGAGTCTGCAGGCCTCCCGGGGGGAATCTGAGGCTGTCGCTCCGGCTGTCGCAGGCCGAGCTCCCGTCCTCAGTCGCGCTGGGCAGGCGTGTTTACTGTCGTGAAACACTACTTCATACTGTCCTTCTCACGAAGGAGAAGCCGGCAGAGGTGACCGGCCCCCTGCAGCCATCCTCGGTCACTCCCCCTCTGTGTGGCCTATCATCCAACCTGAGTGTCAAACTCATTGCCTCTGATCTAGACTTCTCATTTTCTCTGAATATTTTATTGTAACCTGTTTTCCCCTCTCCTTTAATTAGACACCAGCACTTTCTTCGGGGGCTGAAAAAAATTTTTCATATGGCAGAAATTAGATAATTGCCCAAAAGAATAACATGTTTTTCTCTTTGAAATTAAAAATATGACTTCCTGAAAAATATCTGAAATAGACACTTAAAAAGAAGCAGAAACTGAGAGAAATTCATAATAAAATCCTGATTCTGAAAAAAATATGCTTGCTGTGACTGCATTTGATATACTGGTGAATAAAACTGTATAGGCTGTCTTCGTCCTATAGGTTTCATGTTAATGGCTCCATTTTTAAAGTACTGCGATCATCCCTGTTCAAACATTAAAATTTACCGCCCAATGCAATCTGGCAGTAACATCTTAAAACACGTAAGTTTTATATAGAACCTCAGACCATGCATGTTTTATCCAAATAATTAGGTGCATTGCTTTTTGAAGAAATCATATAGGTTACACTCATAAATCTCATTGACTTTTGGACTTCAATTCTTGACTGTACGCAGGCAATTTTCACCTGAAACACAGAGCCAGGAGAAACTGGAGGATAGTGGAGTAGCAGAGAAGACACAGCCTCTGATACAGAGTCAATGTGGAGGACCTCCCAGTTCTGCCACCAACCAACTGCAATCTTGAGTAGGTAACACTCTCTCTGAGCCCCAAAAAAGGTGTAAAATGAAAACATTAAAGCTTCTCCACGTGGTTATTGCGAGAATTAAATTTGGTAGGAAAGCCCCTGCTCATAATAGATACCCCATAGATGATAATTCCCTCTTTGCATTTCCCATTCTAGATACGCAATGGAGTGGAATTCTTCTGGGTCCTACAGTGCTGGCAAATGAAGCAACAGGTGTCTTTAGTGCTAGACATTTATCTACCTTTGAGATTCTTTGTTGCCAAGGATGGATTCTGTCACCAAAGTATACTATATTCATCTACTGATCAATTTCAAAGGTTTGGAGAATTTGTTAAATTGAGCATCGTATCCCATCCCTTGGCTCCATATCCCCCCAAGAGATACAGTGCTCAATGAAGAAGTTTTAAGTGGCTTTGCAGGTGCCTGTCTTGCCCGGTAGTCACATCTTTGAGGCAGGCACAGGTGACAAAGTGATGCCGATGGGAATGGATCAGTCTTTCAAGACATTTGATGATTTCATAGTCAGGAAGAGCAAGGCTGGTCATGTTCAAGCCCAGCATCTGGGAAACCACCTCCCTAAAGTCCACCAGCTGGAATATCAAACAGAAACACATTAACTGAGAGAGCAAATGTATCAACTACTGCTGAGCTTACTGCAGCAACAACAAAAAAACCAGCATGGAAAACCCAGGTGTGCATGAGGCAAGTAAGTTAACCGATGTCATTAACCTTAGTTCTCGTTTATAAAATAAGAAGGTCAGCCTACTAAATTAACTCTAGAGTCCTTTCAGCACCAACATTCAGCAATTTCATAACCACTTTTCCAATGAGCCAACCAACGTCGTAATGGCTACCAAGTCAAGAATCCCAATTAAGCAACCGTGAAGGAGACTCTGACCTCACTAAGATTTCATTTTCTCACTTCCAGGGTGGGAATAACCATAGACCTACCTCCAGGGGCTGTTCTGAAATTGGTACCAAATTAAATGATGGATGTGTATGTGCCCCGCATGCTAGAAAGTGCTTTAAGGATGTTGGTGTGGTCGTGCCCATGGGTGGCAGGTGCTTATGCACTAGAATGTTAACTGGGCAACAAACCTCTTCAACTAAAGGAAGGACAAACAGCAAGAAAGTATGAGCTCACGAAAACAGGGGGACCTCTAAATATGCTCAAATCACATCAGACAGATCGCCACCTCCCAACCCATAACACTGGACTTTCTGGGACCACTATTAGTCACACACTCGCGCGCGCACACACACACACACACACACACACACAACCGAGGGGGGTGGGGGATGAAGACTGGAGACAATGGTTGAAATGTGCCTCGCTCCCCTTCAAATTCTCATAGACTGGCTGGTGATTTGGGCTAAAGCAGAAACAGCTAAATCAGGGATATCTGGGCGGCACATCACTGGAGGTACCTTCCATTTTAGGAAAGGTGTGATCCAACCTGAAGACAGACATTACATCCAGAACTGCCTCCTAAACACTCCCCCCACATGCTCACTCGCTTCCCAACCTCCTTCCTACACTGAGTCCAATTTGGGAAACGTCCTGCTTCCTCCGGCCTAGTCTCCCTGATGGAAAAGTTTTCCCCGACGTTCCTGATCCTTTCGAATACGGCCAGAGCTCTTCCTCCTGGAGCCGTTTCCCTCTGGGAACACTCGCCCGTCGTTGGCCCTCCTCAGCTCTGCCTGACACATGAGCCAGAGCAGAGGCAGCCGGAGAGAGAAAATATGCTGGGATGAGAGTCCCCTCCAGGCCCGCCTCGCTTCAGGCAGAGCGAGATGAAAGCCAAGAGCAACAGGGGTCAGGCTGACACGCGTCTTGCTGGCCGACCCACTGATGTGCTCAGATAACACTCCCCTGGGCAGCGAGCAGACGAGGGCTGCTTTATGGTCTACATCTGGGTTTGGTGGGCCACCAAGTCCGGGTACCCCCGTTTGGGATTTGGGACTATTTCCTGCAACTGATCTCTGCTGGAGAAAGGTTTATCCTGACCTCCCGAGGCTGGAGCCCTGGTAACCGGCAGATGTGGGGTGATGCAATACTCCCGGGCAATGGGCGAGCCGCGTAAAAACCTCTCCGCAGCCAGAGCCTGGCCTTCCACGGGCTTCCCATTGCTTTGATAACACTGTCTTTTTCTTTCCTACAATTCACACCATGAAAATGGGAACTACTTTCCTTAGCGGAATAAATCATGATGGTTCTTTTAATGCCAAAAAGACACTAGACGGTAGGCAGGGATGTTGAAATGAGAGAAAGCTCTGAAAATTGTTTACGAAGAAATGTATGAGCAATGACCAAGATTGGGATTGTCCTCTCTTTTCCTAAGTAGGGAGGTTTCTCCACCGGGTTCTACCCACCTGCTTTTCTCTCTTTTCTGCTTCTTCCAGAGACTTCTTCAGCGCCTTCGTTTCGCTGGTCACCGCTTCTATCGTGTGCCTGGCCCTCTCCGTGTCCTCCTTGGCCTCGTGCTCCGTAGTGTCCAGTTCTGACCTGACAGACCTGAGCTCTTTCTCAGCCTTTTCCTTCATCTTCTCCAGTTTGTCTCTGGATTTTCTGAGGTCTTCAATGGCCTTGGTCTGTTCCAGAGTTTTAATCTAGGAAGACAAGAGGATGCTGATCATCTCTTCTGTATTTATTTAGGAAAACTGCATAAACAAGTCAGAGGTCCATGGGACCCACTGAACAACTTTTTTATGAATAAAGAATGAAATCCACCCCTATTATACAGATTTTGCCAAACAGGTGCTGGACAAACATGTCTTAAGAGAATTATCGTTTATAAACAGCACATCAGAGTGCCATCATTTGGAAATCAATGAGATGAAATGGCAGGTAGCGTGATTCTGGGGCTGAATATTAAAACGAAGGCTGCTGGTACTTCTGCGCAGGCTCTATGAGCTCCTTTGGCAAAAGCGACTGGCACTTTTTGCCCCCACCACTGGGTCATGCCTGATTTAGAACCCTGGGAAGAGCAAAAGGTCTCCTCTTGGAGTGTTTCGCCACAAGGAAGCCCCACCCAACATCCCCTTGGCAAGTCTTCGTCACTGCTGTGAGGAAAATCTACAGCAGCAATTTTTTGGACAAATGTCTTCTGACTTTACCAGTGATGCTGGGAGGCAGGAGATGGTCACAGGGCTCCACCGCAAGCAAGGGGGATGGGCGTGCCTCCCTCTAAGAAGCTGACCAAGATCGTAAAGCCAAAGCACAGAGCGTCCTGGAGTTTGAGGCACATGTTTTAATTAGCTTAGTATTTAAAAGCGTACCAGATTGACTTACAAAAAGAATCTGAGTCCTGGCCCTGTGGCTCAGTTGGTTGGAGCATCAGCCTGTATGCCCAAAGGGTTGGGGGTTTGATTCCTGGTCAGGGCACATACTTAGGTTGTGGGTTCAATCCTGCCAGGGCATGTATAGGAGGCAACTGATCAATGTTTCTCTCTCACATCAATGTTTCTCTTTCCCTGCTTTCCTCTCCCTCTAAAATCAATAAACATATCCTCAGGTGAGAATTTAAAAAAAAAAAAAAGACTGAATAAAAGGGATGACATTTTGATACATTCGACAAGGTTGAACCTTGACGACATTACACTGTGAATTGAGCCAAACACAAAAGGGCAAATACTGTAGAATCCCACTTACATGAGGCACCTAGAACAGGCTAATTCACAGGGATAAAGTGTAAAACAGAAGTTTGCAGGAGCTGGGTGCATGAAGCATTACTGTTTAATGGGCACAGAGTTTCAGTAGAATATGACGATAAAGTTCTGGAAATAGCAGTAATGGTTGCACAACATTGTGAATACTTACTGAATTCCACTGAATTGTACAGGAAAATGATTAAAATAGTAACTTGTATGTTATATATATTTTACCACAATAAAAGAAGAATTTGAGGTACTTTTGCATAATTAGACACAAGGTTTTTTTCCAACTAAACCCATTAAAAATAAATCTGAATGAGCTGCCACTTAACATCCGCTGGGACAGCTATCGTCAAAAAGACAGACAGTAACAAGTGCTGGTGAGGATGTGGAGAGACTGGCACCCTCATGTCACAGTGTCCCAGGGTACAGCTGCTGGGGAAAACAGTTGGCCAGTTTTCAAAGTGTTAAACACACAGTGAACATATGACCCAGCAATTCCGCTCCTAGGTATCAATGTTCAAGAGAACTGAACACTGATGTCCACACAAAACCTGTACACAAATGTTCATAGCATATTCAAAATCACCAAAAAGTGAAAACAACCCAAATATCCATCAACTGATAAATAGATCAATGGGCTGTGGTATATCTATACAATGGAATATTATTCAGCAATAAGAAGGAATGAAGAAGTACTGATTCATGGATGAATCTTGAAAAATTATGCTACAGGAGAAACGTCAGTCACAGAAGGCCACTTATTGCATAATTCCCTTTATATGAAAGACCTGGAAAAGGCGGGAACTGGTGGAAGGAAAGAACGGAGAGTGACTGCTAATGGGTACAGGGTTTCTTTTTTGGGTAATGAAAATATTCCGAAATTAGACAGCAGTGATGTCCACACGACTCTGCAAATATACTAAAAGCCACTAAACTGTGCATTTTAAAAGGGTGAGTTTTATGGTATGTGAGTTGTAGCTTGATAAAGCTATGATTGGAAAGTACATTTACAAAGAAGTCTTTAGAAAGCACACACAAAAATTACTCTGAAACAAATACATAAGTGCATATGGAATGAACAAAGAGCGGAGGAAGATCAGTAGAGCTCTGAATTTAGTCCAGAGCTTCCTGACAATTAGACAGGCCTACGGGCATATTCTAAAAAAAAGAAGAAGAAGAAGAAAGAAAAAAACATAATTTTCTATTTTAATTTTGTTGACAATCATTTTTAAATTATGTATGAAAGTAATAAATTAAAAGAAACCATGCAGTGAGTGGGTGCCATCTTCCCCCTCTCGCCTCACCCTTTGCTGTGCAGGATGCTTACCTGGTGCATCCACCCCGCCCACGTTCCGGGGCAGAACCTGGGAAATGGAGGAGTGTCAGGGAAGGGGGCTTACACCCAACAGGCTACATTCAGCTACGTGATGAAGAGCTGAGAGACAAGCGGGGAGGAAGAAGAGAGAGTGGATGTTAACGAGGCTGCAGGAACTGCTGTCTAAAGAAGCTTGGAACGGTGGAACGAGGCATTGTGGGGCAGTGCAGGTATTGTGTTGCCAGGAAATAAGAGAAATGAGGAAAACATCTTTTAAAGCGTTGCTGTTCATGAGAAGTGAAATCCCTCTTTGTATTTCTCTTTTTCCATTTTTTTCAGTAACAATAATAAAGCTAACAATTTTCATTTGGTTGTTGGACGGCTGATTATTTACTGAGATGGTTGTGCCCCACGTAGACTATATATAGAAGCTCCTGCCAGGGATTAAAGCCTTTATCTGCTCTCGGACTTAGCGTGCGTCTTCACGGTGACTGTGGATAAGACTTGTGGGGCAAGGAGCACACGCTGACCTGCTCTGAACTCGGGAGCTCCCTCCAACGCCACTAGCCAGCCTGGACTGGAAGGACGTGGCGTGAGAACTGACGTGGGATCCGGGGGCCCCGGTGGCAAACCAGGCTTGCAACGTCTTGTGTGATTTCGCTGCAGTGAGGAAGCCCCAGGCAAATACTGAACTGGAAACTTGTTTCTATCTACCACAGCACACACAATTTAAGAAATTAAATGTCTTCCTTGGCAGAGAGGAGGTCGATGGCAGACATGCTTGGACAAATTCAAAACTTTTGAACTTGTTCCATGCAGGTGAGAGGAAATACCTTGGGAAACGGACAGCTGCTGTGGGACTTGCATTCTAGAAGCTGTAAGATCAGCCGATGCAGCTTGGGAAATACTCGGGAAATAAAACGCCTGGGGAAGGGACTCTGAGTGAGCTTTTTAGCCAATGAAAGGGCACCAGTAGAGCAAGCATTTGAGCCGAGGAAATACCACCTACTAAGTGCAGGTCCACAAAGGCTGGCCGTGGAGATCACTCACGGAGTCCAAGTTATCAAAGCCCATAACTGAATGTGGACTGTGTGTTATCAGCACGTTAGAGTGTTGTCTCGGTGTTGATCCCTGAGAAGGATGGTTACACTGTGGTCATATGAAGAATGCTCATGTTCTTAAGAGAAGCCTGTTAAGTATTTAGGGGTGAAGTATCGTGGTGTCTGCAACTTACTCTTAAATGGTTCAACAAAAATAAACAGCACCCCTCCCCCTTAGGCAAACGTATTAAAGGGCCACTAAATTGGGCTAATATGCTGATTTTGGTAATTTTTTCATTTTTCCCACAACTCTAGAAAAATCAGAGGAAGTTTTCTTTTCTTTTTTCCGGCATGTCCATGACAAGGCTGCCACTCTTTTGCAGAAGCTTGGATGGTCATCGGCAAAAAGCAACAAGGAAACGAAGCTGAGCACTCGCCTTGAGCTCATTGGTGTCGGCCAGTCTGGCTTTGAGCTCGGTGTTCACCTCTCGACACACGCTCAGCTCCTTCTGCAGCCGTGCCACCTGCTTCTGCAGCTTCCGTATGGTGACAGTGGCCTCGTCCCTCTCCACGGCCAGGGCCGTCCGCATCTGCCTCTCTTCCTCCAGCTGGGCTATCTTCTGCCGCAGGAGATTCAAGTGCAGCTCTTTGCTCTCCAGTCTTTCTTTCTGGGTCTTGAGCTGGTTTGACACAGACAGGAAGTTTTGAATTGAACAATCAGTAAACATAAATGAATTCCACATTTCAATAAGCCTAATGTCTAAACCATAAAAAAGGGGGGGGGTACTAGATTCCTTCTCCTGAATGCATTTTTTATTCCTATCTTTCCAAGAATTAATTTTGTAGCTGCAAATAAGAGAGAAAGAGCCAGAGAAAATGCATGGAGAGGTAGGCTCTCAACACCTGACTCCTTCCAACATGGTAAGCGTCCAATAAAAATGTAAACTTGCTTTTAAAGCAACTAAAATGGGCTTATCAAGAGCAGCATATAGTAAAACAGACAGACAAAATCCTCTCCAACACCCCATGGCAACTCTACTTGCCCTGGTCTTTTCTGAAAGAAGACAGGGTATAAATTAATACCAAAAACCTAAACTCACTCATTTCAATCCCTCAGGACCAATGAGTAGTCTACCTTACTTTAAAGTTCATATATTTTTAAAATAAGCTATACTGAGGAGAAATTTTTAAAGCTTTGTTTACATATTTAAAATCTTAGAAATAGAGGGACTTAAAGAAAGTTTGAGTTCCTCGGTGTCTTTATTACATGCCTGGCCTATGCCACCCATAAACCAAGCAGGGAACAAGGCCTTGAAACAGCACTTACCACTGACAATTAAACTTGATGAAGGAAATTATAGTGGTTTTTAGAAAAAGACTGTGGACTCTAAGAAGAGAAAAAACATCCTCGTGGGCTTCACATGTCACAATTAGTGAGTGGAATATTAAGTACAGAAACCTCTTTTCACTGCTGCAAACATTAGGAATGAGAACAGTGTAGAATTACAGGATGTTAGAGCTGAGGAACATCACATTTTCCCTGATTATTGACTCTGCATTTATCAAGTGTTCAAGGTGTGAAGGACTTATGGAAATGTGAGCTTGAATATCTCGCCTAACGGTGACAGCAACATCCATGACCGGATCCACTTGTAACATGGCTCTTTCAATATTTCTCTGACTAACCTCCCTTCCTTGAGCTTCTTCATGTGGAAGTCTATTGCAAATTTACAATGGCAAGGTCTGTATGCTGGTAATGTTAATAATTACACAAGACCTAAGAAGAAATGGTATTAGATACTGACAAAAATACAATTATATGAGAACTTCAGAAAGCACTGTAGCTCCACTTAAGGTCTCTGATGGTAACAGGGGTTGTCTGCTTTCTTGTATAAAGTATTCCCAAAGATACAGTAAATGGAGAGGAGGTCAAATGTAAATAGAGCATCTTCTATCAGCCAAGAGTTCAAAATGTTATCTATTAAAAATGTATGACCTCATCAAGTAGGTGTCATCCCCATCTTCAATATGAGGACACAGGGACAGAGAGGTATGCAATCTCCCAAGGCCACAGAGCTTGGTGGAGCCAAACTGGGAACCCAGGTATGGCTCATTACATAGCCTGCACACTAAACCTCTACCATAGAATTTTCTCCTAAGAACTATTATAAGGACACATCTGTGTTTCCCTTTTTATTTCCCCAATGCCAATAATATATAACTAATAATTATATTTTATTCTTCTAACTCTTCCTTTGAGTAAGTGAAAAGTAAGCTCTTCTCTTTCTCCTTTCTAGTCCGATAAAACTTAGAAAGGCAGAGACTGCTAACTGTTCCCCAGTCCTCCTCTTCTATAGTAACAGAAACAGTACATTTTTTAGCCAGGAAAATGGCTAGCCAGAGTACAGACTACAGTGTCAAGCTTCCCTTGCAGCTATGTTTAGCCATCAAAACATCTGCTGGCCATGGTATATAAACACAAGTTCATGTAGCAATTTCTGGGAATTTCCTTTAGAAGACAGCTCATGTCTGCTCTTTTACAGCCCTCTCCTGCACCCCTTTCATCTCCAACCTCCTGCTTGAGCACAGATATAACAGTTCTAAGAACCATTTTTTAACCATGAGGATAAGGGCCACTCTAGGGATAAGAAATTAATGAGCTCAGATGAACCTGGTTCCTTCAAAATTTTATAGAGCAGATCTGTCACACTAGCCCAAAGCTGACCTGCCTCCAGGAATTTATGTGAGAAAAGGAAAAACAAAACACTTCTACTTGTTGAAGCCACTGTTACTTTGGGTCTTTATTACTCACAGTCAAATATAACCTTAGGTGATACACTTACCATCACTTTGGACTTGAAATACAGATTCTAAATACATATTATAATTATGTTTTCTAGCCACATTGGTAAATATGGTGGCAGTAAATTATATTTCAATATTGAAGTTTCACAGATACTCATTCTCTCAAAACTAGCAAGTTTCCATTTCCCCTACCTTTCTCTGTAAATTGTGGGCAATGGTCTTGTTTTCAATGACGGCGTTGCTCTCGAGGCGCACCAGCTGCTCAGTGCGAGCTAAGACTACATCCAGACGCATGTCAAAGCCAAGTTCAGCAGCCATCTGGTCCAATTTCATTTTCTCTGAGAGCTGATCCAGAAATTTAAGATACTAAACCCAAGAACAAAAATGAAAATGGGACACAAAAATGAAGTTAATAGGTGATCTCTCAGAATCTTCCCCTCTCCCCCAAGTTTACAGGTAGTTCTCATTAAACACCGTAGGAGCCCGGTCCCCCAACTCCAATGTTTAGTAATGAATTCCTGAACCACCCTGCCGGTTCCATGTCCTGCTCCTTGTTCATGTTCTCTTGACTTTCCTGGTCAGTGACTTTGATGTTCAATCTAATATTACACACTGTTCTTAATCCTGCCATATGACAGGTTTGGCATACTCCTGACTATTTCTCCATCTCTGCTTTGCTACATGCTGCTCCACCACACCCCTGCCAGGCTAATCCACTCCTCCAGACCTTCCATAGAGATCTTCCCACCTAAGTTTGCCCTGGTCTCTAAAGTAGAAAATGGGGACTTAACCAGTTGCCACAAAGCTATCTCTATGAACAAATTTGGACAACGTTTTCATTTTGGAAAATGTCTTTAAGAGTTTTTAATGTATCATAGTTAAAGGAACAACACTCCACAAAGACGTGGATTTCATTCTATCTATGGAAAATTCACCACTGACAGAATCAGTTTACATAACTTGCTTTCACAACTGAGAGTTATTTTGGTATAATCTCCATTAAAATTAAGGACTCCTTATAATGAAGGAAGGGAAGAAACACCAATGTACCTAAAATTCTTGAGTTTGATATGTTTTTTTCTATAATATAAATATTGACTCTTCCCTAAGCCCTGGAGAAACCCAGAAAAAGATTTACCCTGGCCTCACGAAGCTTGCAGCTGATTGGAGAAGAGGAATTAAACACTAAATACAGTAAGGAGACAAGTCCTATGACAGACTCAGCACTTTTTGCATGAAATAGAACTAAGTCTCTTAGGGGAAAATTCCAGAGGAAGTGATATCAGAGCTGAGTCTTAAAGGACAGTTACTACCAGGTGAAGGAGGGAAGGAGAACACTTTTTCAGAGGGGACAGCAACATGCCATATGGGATGCCAAGGGGGTCCTATTCTTTGGCCAGATAACTGTTTCTACATATTTGAATGTGGATGTCTTTGGACTCAGTGATCACTCAGGGCTCTTCTGGACCCAGGAGTCCTCTAAGTTTTCCACCATTGGCTGGAAAGATTGCGGGTGAGGGATGGAGAGGGGAACTGGCCAGGTCACAGAATGATCAGCCATGAGAAAAAAAAAAAAGCTGTAGCTGATCCTGAAGAGCACAGAGAGCCCCTAGCCAGTTGTGAGATGGAGAGAGCTAAGGTTAGACGCGCATATTAATAAGACCTCCCTGGAAGCCATGCGAGAATCACTTAGAAGGTTGTTTCAGTAGTCCATGCATATTACCATGTGCTCGAATCAAAGTGCGGCTCCTAAATATAGAGATGGGGAGGGAGTATATTTGAGATCCATTGAAGAGATGGCATTTACAGTGCTTAGGAATTGACTAAAATCAGGGGAGCACTGAGGATAACTCTTGGGCTCTTGGCTTGGCCCACTGGAGGCAGATGACCTCATCTTCACTGAGGCAGGAGAATGGCACATTTGAGGAGAGGTAACCATTTCCATTTTAAATGTTTTGTGCAAGGTGTTGTGGATCATCAAGATAGAGGTGTCCAGCAGACAGTCAGATTTCTTCCAGCACCACGGGATTCCTCCTCGTCTACATGGTCATATACCCAGATGTGGGATTTCCTTTCAAACTCAAAATTTCAACTACTATGATGTTCAAAATCGCTTGAGGACACTTCACGTTCTCCAGAATGCAGAAGGCTCAGTCTTCTTAATCCAAGCCATTCCAGTCCTCCCTCCAGCCACACCCCACCAAGAATGCCGCGTCCCAGCCATCGGGGATGATGACCGTGCCTTCCCCGAATACACGGTGTCCCTGCCAGCTTTCATGCCTCTGTTCAAACTGCTGCTCCTACAGCCTCTGCCCCGTCTCTCCACTAAAATGCTACTTATCTTTCAAAGATGAGCTCAACTGTCGTCTTCCTGTAAAATCATCCCCTTAGCCAGAAGTTATCACTCCTTTCACTGGGCTCCTACTGCACTTTATTAATCAATAAATAGCCTTTAGTACAGCAAATTATTTAAATGTCTGTCTCCTATATTGAATTATGAGCCATTTAAGATCAAGAACTGTGAGTTATTCATACCTTACCCTCCAAACCTTCAGGGTCTCATATAATAGGCATTCAATAAATACCTCTTAAGTTTAATTAGATATAATTGAATTATTAGATTTAATTTGAATCAAGGAAGCTCCAAGCAATAGGAAGAGACCTCAAAACAGTACCCATTGTTCCTTGAAATTTACTCATGATTCAGAACTTAACTGAACTATCGAAGTGTTGCAAAATTCAGATTATTTTCAGGTAAAATATTACAGTGCGACAGATGTATCCACCCATGGATATGCCCTCAGGTTGTTACCTTTTGTTTCTCAAAATTCAAGCTGTCTCGCAAAACATCTCCAGACACCAGCTCCCCCTCCAGGTGTGCCAGCTGCCCCTGAAGAGCCTCCAACTTGTTTTCCGCCTTCTGGGCTCTCTGCAGAGCCTTCTGGTGGGACCCACACTCGTTTTCCAACTGCTCAGCAAGCTCAGCTATTTGGGCTTCAAGCTGGGAGACCATCTGGAAGTCAAACAAGAAGCAGCCTTGTTTTAGATGCCGCAAAGTGTTAAAATCCAGTTCTCAGTGCAAGCAACGTATTATTTATAACACCGAGGTCCAGATTCTTTGTAAACGTGGAATAAGAAACAGGTAATTGATGGGCAGATCTGCCTCAGCTTGAAATACATCTGCATTCATTATCTAATAAAATACTTTTGATTCGCCTTTTTATTTCTATATAATTCCTCAAACACGTTACTTGATAAATGTCTGGATAACATTTGCTTACCCCTAACACTGCCATTAATTTAGGAGTTTCAAAGCTTAGTTGGAAAAAGAGTTCAGGCAGAAAGGACTTTACAAACCTATAAAAGTGCCCTTCCCCTCCCACCACGCTCAGTGGGCTAACGCCCAGGCGGTGAGTTAACCCTGAGAAGTCACCGTGAGCAGTTCCAGGGAGTTCCAGTGAGTTCCAGTGAGTTCCAGGGCATAAAGTGACAGGGGCGGCAGAGGGGACTAGCAGGTGTCCATGGAAAATAACCCAATCATTAAAAAATAATAATACAAGAGTAAACTCAGTTTCGTGTCCGGTGGTGCCTCGGTTTTCTAATGTAACCCGCTCGGGAAGGCCATTCGAGCTCTGAAACCTCCGCAAACAGAGGGATCCCAGCCCCCGCCAGGCCTCAGGATCCTGCCCTCAGGGGGGGCCGTGTGGCTGTTCCACTTCCAAGGCGTGTTCGAAAACCGAGGCATTTCCTCCCGGGGTTACAGTGTTCCCAACCTGAAACGTTCGCCAACAGAGACGTTGGAAACCCACACACCACTGTGCTCACACCAGAAACCTCCCTTTGCCCGCCCTGTGTCGTTTCAAGCTCCTTTGGGGTTTTCTATCGAGTGCGGTTACTCTTTCACTGGCCATCAGTGGTGCCACCTCTGGCTGCACAGTTACGGGGCGACATCATCTGCGCATTTGAAAGGTCAAAATTCCTTTAATGCGGTGCTTCTGCGTGGGATCCACCGCAAGGTGCAGCAGGCAGGGCATGTGACATAAGCCACTGCTTCCCCGCTGACCCCGAGGCCCTCCCACCCCTGCTTTGCCCAGGGCTGCCCGCCTCCTGCCAAGTGGCCCTCTCTGCCCCCACCGGCCCTTAAACCAAGAGCATAAGCTGACCCAGGACCCCAGGGACCCTTTGAGAAACTCGAATCGATCCTGGCAAATCCAGTTTTCACAAAACGCTGAATTCAAGAAAAACACCTAGTTTGAGGTGATAAATTTTGTTTTGTTTTGGTGGTTTGTTTTGGAAAAGGAGAGGGAAAAGTAGAAGATATTTACATAATACTCAGCACCATTCTCACAGAAATTAAAATATCTAGACAGTTTCAGATTTACAGTTCCAGTCTGAAAAACAACAACTTCTGCTTGCCTATCTCTAAACAGCCATGCTGACGGAACAGACTGAGGAATCTCAGAGGGAAGGCGGGGGTGGG